TTAGTAGTTTTCTACTTTACCGACTGTACTGAATTATAGTTCATCATAACGCGCTCAGCGCGCCACTGTCGAGGTCAAACAAACTTGTTACCAACTATTTACAGGGGAACTGGCTACCCTGGTCCAGTAGGTAGTATGTGCAATTGAAAATTATTTTCTGACGATGACAAGTATCCCTGCAAAGACACATCTACAATAGAATTTGTATTGGCGGTTATACAGTATGGTTCAAATTAAAGGAATAAATTCATTATAATGGAAGTAGTTGGTTTTTCGAAAAAATGCTCGGACAGGTCAATTTTGTTTACTTAAAGCGCAATTTTTTAAGTAGAATTCAATTTTTTCCCACTTTCCATTTTTGGGTAGTGACGTCATTGACAATTTTTTTTAACTAGTAACCCCAATTTTTTTTTCTTGATTTTGTCAGATCTTGCAATTTCCTACTCGGAATCATAATATTTGAAATATCTTACATAACAATTTTTTTTTTGAATAAATAATTTAAAGATCAGACACATAAATTTTATTTTATTTTGAGAACACAATAAATGAATAAAAGATAATTATTTGTAATTAAATGCTTAATTAAACAAAATAATAATAATAATATTATTATTAATAATAATAATAATAAAAAAGAATTTGTGAAATTGTCATTAAATTCTTTTTATTATTATTATTATTATTATTATTATTATTATTATTATTTTAGATGAAGCACTTAATTACAAATAATCTTTTATTCATTTATTGTGTTTCAAAATAAAATAAAATTTATGTATCTGATCTTTAAATGACTGTTATTCAAAAAAAATATTATGTCAGATATTTCAAATATTATGTTTCCGAGTAAAAAATTGCACGATCTATCAAAATCATGAAAAAAAATTGAGGTTACTATTTAAAAAAATTGTCAATGACGTCACTGCCCAAAAATGGGAAGTGGGGGAAAATTGAATTCTATTTAAAAAATTGCGTTTTGAGTAAACAAAATTGACCTGTCCGAGCATTTTTTCGAAAAACCAACTACTTCCATTATAATGAATTTATTCCTTTCATTTGAACCATACTGTATAGTCACTTTTATGAAATAATTTGAAAAATACAAAACGTAATATTTTATATAAAAAACATATCGAAGACAAATGTAATTATTTTATAGTGCTATATATACGATATTTGTTATTTTCTATTAATTAACTTTCAGTAAATAGATTAGAATCTGTATATTAATCCATTTTTTTACATATATTTCATATATTGCAAGGCCCATCATTTATTACGACCCACCTTGCCCACTTTTAACAGTACTTTGGTGTGTGTTTGAAAATTGAGGAAATAACAAGTGTAACCAAACAAATTAAACATACACTATATAATAATTTTCTAATATGGCAGTCTTCCCAAAATGTTTGCAAAATCATTTTGACAGAGAGTATGATAAAATAGAATAAAAGTGAAACAGTTTAAAATAGAATTCTCTTAAAACTGATTAGTTTTGTAAAGTTTTTATGCCTATCCCACTTGTTATCATAATCTTAAAGAAAGATTTAAAAATGGTTTAATAAAATTATTAATATACTCTTACGGACTTTGACTTAGGTTTAATTAGTTTTAAGATATTGTTTTAAAAATACTCCTAAGAACTGTTATAGGATTCCCCCTTTTACTCTTAAAGCAGATTTATAGCAGCCCTAAGGCTCTCGCGGATTCAAAAGTTTTATCAGTGTCTTAGAAAAATGTTTTATGGTTATCTTGTATAATAATAATAATAATAATACTCTCCCTAATTCACCCCCTTATAAGTGAATTGTAACCCCAAAAGCTGAGCTTGTGCGGGGAAAGGGACGGCTATTATTATTATTTGCCGTGACGCTCCGGGCGATTTAAAGATGATTGCTGGTGCCATTTGACTTACAGGTGAGGAAAACCCGAAAAACCTCACCCACCATCATCGAGACGGTAATGCATGGCGATTTTATAATCTGCATGTCAAATCAACATAAACTGAATTTCTATTAATACGGCACACATCAAATCCTATACCGAACTATGAAATTTAATTAAAAATCCACATGGTCTGGTCTGAGATTCAAAGCCCGTCTGTCTCTGACCATAAACTTGCCTATAAATGAATATAAGCGCGTTAGACTGCTACACCACCAACCCCACTTTTGATAAACCTAAAAATTTTACTTGGGCGTGCTCACTTTATTTGATAAAGTAACAAAACAAACTAACAGAAACAAGTAGATTTTCAAAATGAACACGGTGAACGTCAATACACCTCTGCGAACGTTTTATCAGGTTTTTCATTGATTTGTCAATTATTTCCGGTTTATTTCTAATGTTGTTACATTATTAATTTTTTCCATTAAATGTGATTGGATATTCATTTCTTCGTTGTACACCTCTGATTTAAGGTAGCCCCATAAAAAATAATCCAGATATGTTAGATCTGGAGATCTTATGGTGGCCAATAGACGGAACTGCCTTGACCTATCTATTTGGGAAACGTTGATTTAAATGGTCTATGACCAGTATTGCAAAATAAGGTCCAGCACCATCACGTTGAAACCACATTCCTCTTGATCTCTTCGAACAAATTTGGCAGGATGTCTCTAAGGAAATTTAAATAAACTTCAGCTGTTAATCTGCCTTCAAAAACATGAGGGCCCATTAAATGATTTTTATAAATACTACTATACATTTACAGAAAATCTATATTGGGAATGTTTTTGTGATACAATGTGAGGATTTTTAGTTGCCCAAATATGACCATTCCTGGTGTTATTGATCCCATCACGTATAAATTGGGATTCATCAGTAAATAAAAATCTCGATATTATCCTTTTGTAGGCCAAAGCCCATCTACAAAAAGCGGGGTAGGTCGTCTCCGTGTTCAAGTCGATGTACTTCTGGTACATGGAATTGATGCAAATTTTCTTTTTTTTTTAAGTTTTCTATACTCTTACTATCCAGTATATACTGCTAATTCATTACTAATTCTTCTTACACTGATGGAAGGATTATTTCGAGCTATCTGTAGTATCTCCTCTTCTTATTGAAGATTATTTCTCGGAGCATGTTCATGTTTAACTGTAGTTGGAAACTTTTCATGTTACTTACTAAATTCGAAAACCTGTGAAAATATCTTAAAATTTGGTAAACGACGATTAGGAAAGCGTCTGCGATACTCTCTTAATGCTGCTGTATGGTTTTCGTTACAAAAACCGAACACAAAAATAATGTCTGCATATTCTTCATTACTAAATTGAAACGGTCTGAAATACTTATTTTCATACCATTAGAAACTTACACTTGTGAACAAAAGTAATTTAGCTTAAAATACTGTACATGAAATAAATGATATTTGACACAAGCCTACTGGTATTATACAATTTTACATTAATCATGTTTAGGACGGACTGAGTGATGTATACCTAATTTGGCGCCTATTTGCAGTTGACTAAATTGAATTTTCAGCTCGTTTATAAAATCCCTAGTTTTTTGAACTTTTAAATTTGATTTCATTAAAGTTTTAGTTCGTTTGAGTTTTATTTCATTTTAATTTCCAAATATGTCGCGTGAAAGCCTACCTTGTCTGTTGTTTACTCCCGCGGTATGAAGTCTAGCGGCACGCTGGCAATATAGAGACAAGACGCGTCTCGAATATACCAGAACAAGCGGTAGGTACGTGACGTTCAGTCATAGAGATGGAAGTCTAGGATATTCCACACCGTCTAGAGTATTCTGGTTAAAGTTGGCTTGATATAAATATTGCGAGTACGAAGACGGAAGTCAGTTGTATATGGTTAAGTTTAGTATTGAGTATTGGACTGAACACATAAATTGTAAGAAATAAATTAGAATTATTAGCTAGTGTCTAAGTATTATATAAATTATTAGTACGTCTGAAATAAATTGTAAATGGTGTGTTTTAAATAAACTATAAATAAATTAGACTATCGTTACAATAATTATGTAAAGATGAACGTGGAGAGAGAAAATGAATGAGATGGTTTGAAATCGTCCTTCTATTAGTGTAAGAATTAGTAATGAACAAGTGTATGGAAAACTTAAAAAAGTCGAATTTGTATCTATTTTATGTACAGCAACTTGAACACACATAAAATGTTTGGTCTGGAATTTATAAAAATCACTTAATACCTTAATACTTAATACCCGAGCACAGTTATTGGAAAAAATTAATAATGTATGTAACAACATTAGAAATAAACCGGAAATAATTGACAAATCAGTGAAAAAACTGTTTTAATTATTTGTTTGTGTTACTTTATTAAATAAAGTGAGCCCGTTCCTGTGTAATCTTCAATTTCCTAATGGAAAATGCTGTAGTTAAAAAGAAATAAAAATGGTACCTAATTTGTGTAGAATTTTAAAAGTAAAATATTTGATTTTAATATTGTAAATACTGATTTGTAATATTGTAGTCGCCATTATAAAAATTTACTGTAAGAAAGTCACTATTTAAATGTGCAAAATAAAAAAAGAGCCCGGTCCTGAAATTTTTTTAAATTAAATTATGGCTTTGATTAACCTAAGAGAGTGTAACTTTGGTACAAAATTTTATCAAAATATCTACTCGTTCAAACAAAATGGCCGACTTTAGTTTTGGCAAATAATCATAAAACACCCATGTCTCAGAAACGAGTCAGTACATTTTTAAGGGAAACAAATAAAGTAAAATGCAATATTTTTAACATTAAATGGATGCTTTTTTCAAATATTGTAAAAATACGGAATTTAACAATTGTTTCGATCTGTACAGTATGTTTTGATGTATTCCATCGTTCATGTGTAGAACGAAAAAAATACTTCAAAGAACTAGGTGATGGTAAAATATACTGTTCTGAAAAATGTGAAAATGAACGTTAATGGTAAGTCAAAACTTGATGAATCCTATAAAAAAAATACTGATCTAAAAAGAATCATATGTGAGAAAGATATTTTAATGGAAAATAGGGTATACGACAAAAATGAAGACATTGAATACAATTATATATCAATCAACTAAAAGAAACAAGACAAGACATATTGAAAGATTAAATATAAAAACACAAGATTTTGAAGATGAAGCCATGGAAATGGAGAAAAAAGACTATCAAAAAATTAAAAAACAGAGTAACACCATAAAAATGCTGAATAAAGAAATCTTTGAAACCCAAGTAAGGATGTTATCTCATGAAACTGAATTAATGACTAAAAATAACAAAATAAAATGTTTGGAACAAGAATTAAAAGATTTAGATAGTGTGGGCAGAAATATGGTCAATGCAATAAAAATATTAGAAGAGGAAAATAATCAGTACCAAGAAGAACTTAACAAACTAAGAATAGAGGTAAAAAAATATTTCTTTAAAACCAACAACAAACAATATAACCATTTAAAATAATCAAGAAAAAATAGAAAAATGTAAAATAATCCAAACCAACGATGTAGAAGAGATGGAAGTATTAAATAAAATGGAAACCGGCAACAAAATATTAATTCTTTGTGATGAAATGGGTAAAAACTTAAACAGAGTTCTTAAAAACAAATTCAGTGTAAACAACGTAAACAAAACTATTATAGAAACTATCATAAAACCATGTGCAACTTTTGAAAACGTTATTGAGGATATTGTAGGTTTGACTTGTAATTATACATTAAATGAATGTTTCAATTATAGCAGGAAAAAATAATTTTAAATATGGGAGATATCCATCAATGAAGTTTTGAATGATACGACTAAAAACTGCACACATACAAATATACTTTTCAGCACTATTCCTTGTGATGGAATGGTCAGTCATATTAAATACTTTGTTGAAAAATTTAATAGGAAATTAAATAGCTATATTTGCAAGATTGATCATTTTTCAGAAGGTAAGGTGAGAATATTAGATGTATAACAAGGATAAAACTAATATTTGTGACAAAATTTGATTAAGATTACAACAAAAAAAAAAAAGAAAACAACTCAATTTTCATTAATCACTGCTCAAATAACAATGATTTAGCTATAGGACTGAATAATCAAAAAACAGCCAGTTAAAAACGGAATTAGAAGAGCCTGTAGTTATTAATATATCAGATGATATAGATTTTACACAAAATAATACTTGTAATAATAATTGTATAAATCGTGATGATAAAACTGATAAATGTAATAATTTTTTAGACAAAGTTCCTCCAATAATAATAGAACCGTAATGCAAAAGGCTACATCTAACTTATTTTTGGTATATTTAAATTCACAAAGTTTATTTGCTCACATTGATAAAATTAGTAATCTAGTCCTAAATAAAAAACCATTGTTAGTTTGTCTATCTGAAACGCATTTAACAGAAGATATATATGACAGTGAGGTAAATATCAATGGGTATAACTTATATCGGGTAGACAGTGATAGCCATCATACAGGGGGAGCTGCCATATATGTGTTAAATACATTTAAAGTGACAAATATTACTAAATGTTTTGAAAATAAAAAATATTGGTTAATTTTATTGCAGATTACTTACAATAATTTATATGTATAGATCTCCAACTAGAAGTTATGTTAGAGCTTTTAATTTTTTTTTGAACTTTGGTGCTATGGTATATGTGATATTAAGCTCAACATAATTTTTAATTGGGGATTTTAATATAGATGTTTTAATAAATTTTACAGTGTGCGTTTAAAAAATGTTATGATTGATATTGGTTTCGAAAATATTGTAACTGACTATACTTATCCAACAAATTTTATACAAATGCTAAATGAAATCGCTCCTAAAAAAATGGTTAAGATATTTCCAATTTAAACTAATAGAAGTAATGAAAACTGGGAAGCCTATAAACAAAAAAGAAACATTGCTGTAAGAGTCTTAAGAACTGAAAAAATAAAATATTATGAATGTAAAATTGATCGTAACAAGGGTAATGCTGTTGAAATGTGGAAAGTACTAAAAACTTTTTTGGCAAATAATTCTTTGCATAAAGATTTTTTAGAAATTGAAATAGATAATCAAAAAATGGTTGATAAAATTGAGGATATGCCAAGTAAATTGAACACATTTTTATTAGTAGTATCGGTACAATTGATAATTGTGATCAGAGTGGCCCAAAATTTCTCATATATATTAAAAATAAGTTAATTTCATGTTTTTTCTTACTTTTGGTTAATTGATTATGATTCTCTTAAAAGAATCATTTTTTCATTGCCAAATAATAGTTCAGATGACATTAGCTTGAACTTGGTAAAAAATACATTTAACAGTATTGCTAATCCTCTAATTAATATTATTAATAGCAAGATATTAAAGTGTCTACAATTATACCACACCCAAGGTTTCAAACTCTAAAAATGCTCAGCAGTTCAGTCCTATAAATATGCTCAGCTGTATTGATAAATTTCTCGAAAAGGTTGTTTATGAACAGAGATTATGGATAATATTGAAGAACACAAGTTAATTAGTAAAATTTAATCAGGATTTCGTAGCAAGCATGGATGTGAGACTGCACTACAGTGTGTACTGGATAATTGGAGGGGGGAGATTGATAAAAACAATTTTATTATAGCTGTATTCTTGGACCTTCAACGTGCTTTTGAAATAATAGATTGACTTCAACTAATTAAAAAACTTGAAAGTATAATAATCAGAGGCACAGTTTTAAATTGGATCATCGATTACCTCACAAATAGAAAACAGAAGGTAAAAGTAAAAGAACATTTCTAATGAAGTGGTCAATGAATATGGTGTACCTCAAGGGAGTGTTTTGTGGCCTTTATTGTTTCTAATATATGTAGATGTAGATAACTATGTTATTAAAATTAGAATCTATGAATTACAACACGTTGAAGAGTTTAAATATTTGGGTGTAAAAATTGATAGAAAATTAAAATTTAAATATCATGCTAATTATATTATAAAAACATCTTTTAAAATAAATTATTTATACAGAAGTAGTAAGCACCTGACGCAGTGGACCAAAAACATAATTTACAACACTTTAATTTTGCCCCATTTTACTTATTGTGCTACAACACTCTACCTTAGGACGAAATGAAAAGAGTACATTACAAAAACTACAGAATAGAGCAATGCGTACGATACAATCCCGCTCTAGGCTGACCCCAATAAAAGATATGTTAACTCAGTTAAAGTGGCTTCCACTGACAGATTTCATAAGGTATCAAACCCTAATTATATTTAAAATTAAAAACGGCTGTGCGATATATATGACAGTGAGTATCTGATAGATAAAATTGTATTTAACCATAAGATATATCAGTACAATACTCGCAACAGACAAAAATTTTTTATACCTCCGGTGGCAAAAAGAAGCTCTTAGAGCTCTATATTTTTGTAAGGGATTGCAGGAATTCAATAACCTCCCAGACTATATAAAAACTTAACATCAACATTACTTTTTAAAGCAAGGTTAAGCATTATTTGTTGAAATGGGTTTTATTATTTTTTTTTTTTTAATTTGGTGTCATCGGCGTCGACTACCTACGGCCATTAGCCTCGTGTTCTGTGTAGGCTTTGTTACTGGTTCCCAGCGCCACTTTAGGGACGGCACTGTTAATTAGAACCCAACAGTGAATGGTCGAGTGGGGAATCCTACCAAGGCATCAGAATTAATTTTAAATAATGAAATTAAATGAAAAAATCCCGGCCAACGGTGGGATTCGATCCTGAGACCTTCCGATCTCAAAGTCATGACTCTAACCACTGAGCCAACCCACCCCCCATTATTATTATTATTATTATTTTTATTATTAAGTCTAATTTAGTACAGGGTTGTTTTGAACTCAGCTAAGTGTACTCTACCTCCCATTAAGCTGTGTCCATTTAAATCTGAAACACCCTGTATATACCTGAATGTTTTTTAGAAAAAATCATCGCTACTGTCTTCTACCAGAATCTGATTAGAAAACTTCAATGTCTTGAATCTTCAGTTAAATTAATAATGATTTCGTCTATGACTATTAGTCTCTTCAACTACACTATTGGACAAAAGTGAAGCAACTTTTATAGTAAAATAAAATATTTAATTATTTAAAATAAAATGAGCAACCATGGAAATTAAAAATAATTTAATTTAAGTGGTCATAGTAGGCTGCAGTCATATGTGACATGGGATTGTTTGCAAATGTCAAATAAGTTAGTATGTAATAATTTATTTCAACTAGACCTTTTATTATCGCGACAAAAGTATAGCAACTCTTTGATTTGGTTTACAGGAAAAGGGTTTATGATACAGGTAAAGTTCTAAAATGACGTTTTTCAATTTAATTAAGCTTAACAGCTCTAATATTTACAGAATTAAATATGCCAAAAGGAAAACGAATCTGTACGGAGGTACAAGAAATGGTCGTAAACGCCTTTTTAGAAGGGAAGAGTAAGATTGCGATTTCCAAACAGTTCGACTTGCCCAAATATAGTGTCTCAAAAATAATTTCACGTTATAATGAAAGAGGACATGTAGAAAAAATGCCGAAATCAGGAAGGCCCAGGAAAACTACATTTTGGATGGATAGGAGAATCAAAAGAATTTCTCAAAGAGATCCGTGGTTGTCAGGACCAAGGACAATTGCTGAAATTCCCGAACTGGAAGTCAGTGCGAGGACTGTTCAACGACGATTAGTTGAGGCGAAACTTTATAGCAGACGTCCTGCCAAGAAACCGTTGGTTTCTGAAAGAAATCGCCGTGCCAGACTTGAATTTGCGTAACAACATTTGAACTGGACAGTGCAAGATTGGGGAAAAGTATTGTTTAGCGACGAAAGTCGTTATAAAATTTTTAATTCTGATGGAATGAAGCGTGTCAGGCGTCCGGTTAATATGAGATTTCACCCAAAGTATGTTAAGCCAACAATAAAGCACCGACAAGGTAGTGTATTTGTATGGGGTTGTTTTTCGTGGAGCAGAGTAGGCCCACTACATTTTATAGACGGAATTATGGATCGCTTCGTCTACAGAGACATACTCCAAAACGTTATGTTTCCCTATGCTCAGCGGGAGATGCCTTTGCAATTTATATTCCAACAGGACAACGATCCGAAACATTCGTCTCGCCTTGTTCAGGAATGGTTTCAGGAGAACAATGTCCAGGTTCTTAGGTGGCCGGCCCAATCACCAGACCTCAACCCCATTGAGAACCTTTGGGAAGAGGTTGAACGTCGTATTCGGACTACAAGATTCCCAAATAAACAGTCCTTATTTGATAAAATTAATGAAGTTTGGATTAATATGCCGGATATTACTATCCAAAACTTAATTTCATCAATGCCGCGCCGTTGCCAAAAAGTTATATCTAATAATGGATATCCTATTAATTATTAAGAATTTGTTCTTATTTTGTTTCAAC